AGCATGGGCAAGAGCAAAGGATGGAGAAGTGCCATTGGAACTAGGATTTGGAGGGAGGAGCAGGCCCTCAAGGCTTGTGTGAGAGCTCACGGTGATAGTGCCCTTCTATGACAAAGATGTGGAGACAGATTGTGGTTTTAAAATAAGGCAGTTCCCTTTCCCTGGACCTGATCTACATTCAGACACCAACCTCATTATCACCACTGAGGTCAAAGAGCTGAGAGCATGTGCAGAGGCCAAGGGAAAATTGTGAGCCTGCAGTACACAGAAGCAGAGAGGGAGGGTGGGAGCCAAGGAAGCTCCTGCTCCAGCTTAGAGTGTACAGTTGAGTCTCTGGGACATCTGGGGAGATCCTTCTTAAGCTCCACCCACTTCTGAAGCATGGACGTTTTGGGGTATCCTAGGCTCCTTGTGAACTTATAAGAGTCCTTTCACCTGCTGTACCAGCCATTTATTATGTAAAGAGCCTGTGTAAAATACTCTGCTCTCCAAAGAGAGTCACATCATTGGAAATTACTTTATTGATAAAATTAGCTGATAAATAAGAGCAGTAGCTACTAAAATAGACTTTTAGATTATGGAAAAAAATGACATCACTGGGGACAACTTGTACATGGGGACCAATCTCATCACTTAGCCAGGACAGCCATTCTTTACAAATGCCACATGGCCTGTCTGCTTTCAGTACCCTTGTCCTCCTAAGTGGATTTACCTGGCTTCCAGGTGCTGGTGAAGATGCCCCTGAGCAGATGTTGCTGGGTTATTTGGTGAAACAGAACTTACTGTATAGTACAGTAATTGTTCTGAAAAAAGAATGATCCCTCCTATATTACATATACAACCCATACTGGGAAAAAGTTTTTCCCTTTCATTAATCTTTCACAGAATATGTAATGGTATTGGAACATTTGCACACAGCCAGCAATTTATCTTGGGCTTCATTGATGTTAGAAATAACAGTAATCACATGTGCTTGAAAGCTGATGGGCAAGGCAAAATTTACTTCTGCAGAAAGATGTACCTCCATCCAGAGTCAGGCAGGTGAGCACACTGAGCAGGAATTCCACTCAGTTTTTATCTCTTATGGAAGTCTGCCTCTCACCCTGATGGATGGGTTTGGGTTCACAATCTTCCTGATTGGCTACTTAGAAAAGGGGGCACATGGAGTAAGGGGGACCTTAAAGCAGAGAGTACAAGAAAATTCTTTTGGGCATTATTCATCTTTAAGCAAGTAGTTTGAGATTATGACATCTGGCGATAACCAGTTCTTTGACCACAAGAACTTTTCAAGGTCAAGCAACATTTCACAAAGCATGTAGGCAGCAATTCAGGGAGGTTAGCTGGCATCTACACAATGATAGCTACATATTAACTCCTTTGACAGGAAAGACCTGATTTTAGTTGATTCTCACGATTGATAAAAAGTGCTGTCACTTCAAGAACAATGTGAACTACTTCATTAGTCTTTCTCACAGCCCATATGGCTCAGGCTTAGAAGTAAATAAACAGTCTGGAAGCCCAGGCAGCACAAAAAAAAATTCTACTCAACTTGATAAATTGCCTTGAGATGAATGGAGTTCCCATTCTTCCTTCTGACCTGTGAAATCACCCACCCACTCAGAGCCAAAGATATTTCTACTGGCAGCACACGGTTAGGACCTTCTGCAGGTGAGCTGGACTACCTGTGTGTAACACTTTGAGCAAAGAGCAAGATAACTTAAAGCTCAAGAAAATAAGGCAACCCAAAAAAATTACTTTTGCAGTAATGTAAAAATGATTGTAATGTGATACTGGCTTGAAAAGAAACCCTAGTATGAGGCACAAAATGGCCAGTGATATAAATGAAGTACCAAGTCCTATGATACTGTGTTAAAAGGGAAAAAATGGTAATGGCACTTACCATGCTGTAAGCACTAGGCTAAGTACAGTTATGGATTAGGTCATTCTTCATTCATATGACTAGTCTTTTTGTCCTTCAGAAATTTTTTCAAGTGTCATCTCAGCCAGGAAAGCTTCCTTGGCCCTGCCTCACCCTGTTCCTCCCCTATTGAATCACATCCTAGATGAATTGTTGGTTTATCATCTATCACCACAAAAGATGGTAAGCACCTGGAATGGGGGTACAATGCCTTGTCTTTGCAGACCTTCTTTGCCTAACTCTAAGGCCAGTGCACATCAAGCCTTCAAGGATGGATGATGGATGGAGGGTTGGATAGATGATGGATGGATGGATGGATGGATGGATGGATGGTTGGATGGATGGATGGAGCACTATCAGAGCACCAATGGAAAAAGAAATAGCGTGAGCAACACAGAATCAAGGTGGGTTTCAGAAACTGCAGTAGTGCACCTTGCTTGTGATAAAGAAGATATGGGTAGGAATGTAACGGTGACAACTGTTCAATAGAGAAGATTGTCACAGTTTGGAGGGTCTTTAATGTCAAGCTGAGGCAGATAATGGGGAGTCATTGAGAGTAGACCAGAAGGGAAGAGATGAGTCAGAGCTGTGTTTTACAAAGATTAATTTGACAGTTAGAAAACCTTATCCTTTTTCATAATATATTTGACTTCTGTCAGGAATTCTCTTTGTCTTAATATAAGGAACTAATCTTGTAATGTGGGTTTTAAGGAGCCCATACCATAAATATTTCTTTTGCCAGAAGAACTCAGTCTGGCACATGTATAGGCCAGTCCTGAGTAAGTGTTTTGGAAATTTTTTTTTTGCTTCATGTATTTGTCTTTCTGCTATTCCCTAAGCCAGCAACCACATAATTTTGATATAACCCCCACCCACTGCAATCAATTCTGAGCTGCTCCCCAAGGCCCAGCCTGAGTTACAAGCTGGTGCTCAACCACAGCAGGGAATATCACCAGAGACTCTGGATGGAATTCTTTTATAAAACAATATGAATGCACAGAAATTCAGTCCTTTTGTTCACTAGAAATAATTTTCAAATGATACATCCATCCAGGAAGAAAATATATTTCAATGTTATGAGAAATATATTAATATTTAATAAGTAATTAAAAAGTATACAACACTACTACAAATGTGACTATCATTTTTATCAAGCATATATTATTTATTTGAGCAGCCATAAGACAGTTTCTTAACAAAGCATGTGTGCCAAATTCAAAAATGATACCTTTACCCTGTTGTACATAAAAGTTGCACCTGAAAATCATAAAGTTCCTTAAATAAACATTATCATTAAATGAATAAGTTCAACTGCTAATTTTTTTGATAGCATTTATTTCTCTAATTTCTAGAACCTATTATGGATCAGGAAAACAATTGCAAAGAACAAAGTCTGATGAGTCTGTATTTCTGAGTAATGTGTTAAGAAAGGTGATAATGGAACATTTGATGCTAACAAAATAGACATCTAGGATTATCTTTTTAAAGACACATAATTCACATCTCAGAAAAGAAATGTATTACACTAGGACTGAGATATTTTGAACATAAAAGTAAACCAAGCACTATACAGGAGCCATCATAAAGCTTTTATTGAAGTCTCCAGATGGATCATTGAGAATGCTCAAGTTGTATGAAACTGAAAAAGAAATTGACTCGTGAATTTTCATTGTTCATTTTCCTGTTGCTCTATAGTTAACAAATCATCCTCTCTTTTCCTTATGAATGCAAGGCCAAAGAAAGCAGCTTCCCTGTTCTTCATACTGTGATGCAGATTCTCATCCAATGATTACAAGGGCTGTGGTACAAAGCACTGTGAAGATGGGGACAAATGCTTGTCCAGAACATGCTGGAATACTGTGACCCCCTCCAACAAACATGACCACTCTGACTTGTGCTGAACTGTGATGTAAACTTCTTATTTAAATTTTAGGAAGCTCATCCCTTTTTCTGGTCTAGAATGATCGTTCTTTACAAATCAGTAAATAAGCTCCTGACAGACTTATCTGCTAAGCTGCTCACATTGTTCCACCTTCTGCTCCCACAGCCTGCAGGAATCTCTGCCCAGTGCGACTCATTGAGATTCACAGACATTACTAAGTTCTCTTGAAGGCAGAGCTCTTTCTGATCCTGCTGGATTTCTAGAGTCAAATATAAACATGCATTTTTCATTTATCAACTCTTCTATGCATTCTGTTTCACACAAATTTAATTCATATGGAAATACACAGGGATCATTTTCAAAGTTTCTAGAAGATTGAAGACATTTTTATACCATTTCCATGTGGGAATTAACTCTGCATAATCAGAGGGCAAGTATCTATCATTGAATTTGTCCTTAAAAACCTCACACTCTCACACCTGTTCTGAATTAACATTTGCTTTTTTCTCATCAAGGTCTTTACTATATGATCTAGGTAACTGTTGTATTGATGTCTTCATCCACTTTGTTTTCATTTCTCAAGCAGAGAATGCATTGAAACTCAGACACTATTCCCCTCAAGAGCCATCCTTCCCTCACAGAAATTTGTCTATTCCCATTATTATTTCAAGAATGAACTGAGTGTTGAAGGTATTTCAGCTCCTTTGATATACTGTGTATGCCAAATACAAACTATCTTCTAAGAATTCTCTAAACTCCTAGCTCCAAGTGAAAGTTTATAAACTACAATTCTTAACTCACCCTGAGAAAATCCTATTTCACAGAAGCATTAATAGGATATAGTGTAAAAGGTCTCATTTGGTCCTCACTAGGTTTCCAGAATAGAAATCCATTATTTAAGAACAAAATCATATTCATGAAATAATTTTTTCTATCATTTTAGATAAGTTGTGCATATCATATCCTCTACATACAATCTTTAATGAAATGGTCAACTGAAATAGTTTACAACAGGTATTCTAATTCTTGCTGAATGTTATGTTACAGAATGAGATTTCATGTACCAGGCAAAGAAAACACCACCAGAGTCCCATTCTCATTATTACCCCAGATCATCAGGAAGCTACTACAAGAGCAACCTAAGAGGAAATATTGAACCATGTCACCCGCTCAGCCTGTAAGGACACACGTAACTCACTCCTAGTCATCGAGAACAGTTGACACCATGGTATTGTTAAATTCGCTGCTTACAGAAGCTGAAGTCAGCTGGATGCTCTTATCTATAGTGGGGACTCTTCCACCAACGGTTTCATCAGTGTTCCTCTTTGGCCTCAGCAAAATAATGAAGCACTTGGGAGCAAATATGCAGCCTAACAAACCATAGCTGGATGCCAAGATAGCAAATATTTCCACAGCCACCTTGAATTTGCCTTTGGTGCTCAGGTAGGCAGGGACAAAAGAGATCCAGACAATGAAAAAGACCAGCATCCCAAAAGTGATGCATTTCCCTTCATAGTAATTATCAGGCAATTGGCGAGCCACAAAGGTGGTGAGAAAGCACAAGAAGGCCAGGAAGACATCCAACCCAAACATGATGCACAGAAATTCTATAGATCCTTCATCGCACTCCAGAATGATCTTTACATTTTGAGATTCCATGTTCTTGTAAATCCTCGGGGGCTCCAATACCAAGTAGGCCGTGCTTATCCCTGTCTGGACTAGAACAGAGATCAGTACAATGAGTTTTCGACACAGGGGGTGCATGGATATAAGTGTGGTCTTGGATTTGGAAATTCTGTAGGCAAAAAACAGTGAAATAGTCTTTCCAAGAATGCAAGATAGACAAAGAGAAAAGCCCAGTGCCAGAGTGACCTGGCGGGCCAGGCAGGACCAGTTGTGTGGCTTGCCAATGAAAAGCATGGAAGACAGCACTGTGATGATGAGAGAAAGCTGAAGGAGAAAGCTCAGCTCGCGGTCATTGGCCTTCACCAGGGGAGTGTGCCTGTAGAGCACATACACCACCATGACTGCCAAGACCACAAGAGCCCCGAAGATGGAGAGAATGACAAGGGTGAACCCCAGGGCCTCATCCAGAGCCAGGAATTCCACCTCTTTC